TGATGAAGCAGCTTATCACCACTGGCTTTCAGTACCTGGAAGATCAAGTCAGATGGCAGACCGGCATGAAGGCGGAGCTGGAAAGGCTGCAACAGAACCACCCGAAGATCCAAGCTGTCGTCGACTATGCTTCCCGTCAACAACAGATCAGAGACAAAAATCCGGCTCTTTACGAATGGCTATGGCAGCTACGAGATGCTATCGATGAGGCAGATGATGTTTTGGATGACCTCGAGTACGAGAAGCTTGAAAAAGAGCTGGCAAAAAGCAAGAAGCAGAGAAAGGTGCGTTCCATCATGAAATCCCTAAATAAAAGACTTGTCAAAATTGCCAAACGTGCTCTCAAAATTGATCCCAACTTGAAGAAACTCGAGGCGGTTGTGCAGAAAATTGATAAAGTTTCAACTGGTGTTGCAACTTTCCTTCATCTTGTAAGTGAAGCAAATCAGGAGCATCAGGATCAGCAGCTGGAGCTGTACAGAGAACGTCAAACGGGATCTTTGCCTAAAACTGATCTCATCGGGCGGGGCAATGATAAGGAGTTTGTTATGCAGTGGTTGAGGAAGCAATCAAATGAGCATCGGGGAACTGATTTGTACAGAAACATTTCTGTTCTATCTATAGTGGGGCATGGTGGTATGGGAAAGACTACACTCTTGCAACATGTCTATGAAGAAGATGAAATGACAGAGGAATTTGATCTTAAAATGTGGGTTTGTGTATCCAACAACTTTGATGCGCAAAAAGTCATTGCAGATATGTTGGAATCTCTTAAAAAGAATAGACCTCCTTTGGATACACTTGATGCGCTTCAAAAGAGTCTTAAATCTGAGATAATGTCAAAAAGGTTCTTACTTGTGCTGGATGACATTTGGGATGAGGAGGAGGAAAGGGATAAAAGTAAATGGGAGAATGTGCTCGCCCCTCTGTCTTGTGGAAGTTTGGGAAGTAAAATTTTGGTCACTACTCGGATGGACTCTGCTGCATTGATAATTGCAAAAGTGATTAAAAATAATAAAGAAACATTGAGATTACAAGGCTTAGAAGATGGTGAATGTTTACAGCTACTCAACAACCATGCATTTGCAGATGTAGAGAATCTTGATGATGATCACAGAAAATTAAAATTAATCACGGAAGAGATAGCTAAAAAGCTTTCAGGGTTTCCATTAGCAGCAAAGGTCATGGGCGGTATTCTGAATTCTAATTTGGATGAAAGGCATTGGAGAGAAGTTTTAGAATGTGATACTGGAATAATAAAATTGGGTCAAAATGATATCATGTCGGTCTTAAGATTGAGTTATGTATACCTCCCACAACATCTACAAAGTTGCTTCAGATTTTGTTGCATATTCCCACAAGATCATGAATTTGATAAGGATGATTTAGTCCGCATGTGGATTGCATTGGGTTTCATTCGGTCATCATATAATCAAGGAGAGAATATGGAGGATATTGGAGGAAGGTATTTTGATACTTTGGTTAAGAAATCATTTTTTGATAAATATGGTAATTATTACAAAATGCATGATTTATTACAAGAACTGGCACAGTATGTTTCTGCACAAGAATGCTTCAGAATTGAGGGTGAAAATGTGTTGTCTTGTAGAATTTCTGAAACTATTCGACACTTGGCTGTTAAAACTAACAATTTAGAAGTGGTCAGAAAGATTGAGAAATTTAAAAATTTGCACTCTCTTCACTTAACCTATAGCAAAGATGATCAGGATTTTATTGATGTACTTACCAAAAATTTTGAAACATTGAGTAGCATCCGCTTGCTATGCATAAACAATCAACACCTGAAAATGATACCCGAGGCAATTGGATTTTTAAGACATCTTCGATATTTGAAGATTGCTAGAACTAGTGTTGCTCAACTGCCAAGATCGTTAAGCAATCTTTATCACTTGATGTTTATGATATATGAAAGAAATTTGTGTATTTCCAATGATATCTTACCAAAGGATTTAAATAACCTTTTTAATCTACGTTACTTGAAATTGCCTTGGGATGTCATTCTAGTTGGGATGCATGGTATTGGAAAGCTAAAATCTCTTCAAGGGCTGGATGGGTTTTATGTTAAGAATGAGATTGGTTATAAAATTGGGGAGTTGGAGCATATGAATGACCTTCGTCAGTTAAGAATCAAACTTCTTAAAAATGTGAAGGATGCCGAGGAGGCTTGCAGTGCCAAAATATATCAAAAGAAGAATCTCATGGATTTGTCTTTAGAATGGAGTCACATTCATATCAACAATTGGGGTCATGCACAATTTGCAAGGTATGCTAGTATATCAAAAGAGGAATCATCACGAAACATTTTTGATCCTTACTTAGATGAGAAAGTGCTTGACAATCTTCAACCACACAATAGTTTAAAGCAATTGCGGATATATTCATTCATGGGTGCCAGGTCTGCAATATGGATGAACAATATAAATTTGATCTCAAATCTAGAATACATTCGACTAGAGGATTGCTTGGAGTGGCACACTCTTCCACCTGTTGGGCAGCTTCCATTCCTTAAATCGCTCATTCTTCATAATATGCCAAAAGTTAAACGGCTTGACAATAAATTTCATGGAAATGGCAAGTGTTGCCTCTTTCCATCACTGAAGGTGCTAGAAATTGAAAATTTGGAAGTATTAGAGGATTGGTTTGATGCAGCAGCAGTAGCAGAAGGTGACTGTTTGTTTCCTTGCTTAACTGAACTGTACCTAAGAGACTGCCAACATTTGCAAGAGCTGCCCTTTTTGCCTCCTCAGCTCAAGAAATTGGAGATTGATAACATTGGGTGGAAAGCTTTTAATTGGCTTCAATGTGCTAGCAACTGTTGCATCCAAGAGCTGAAAATTACAAGGAATGATGAATTGGTTTCATTTCCAATTGAGGCAGAGGAGTGGTTTGTTCGAGTTAGTTCATCCCTTCATAAGTTGTACTTTATGGAGCTCAAATCGCTGCAGTCTCTTCCTTCCTCCTTGGCAAGCCTCTCCTCACTTAAGATTCTAAGTGTGAGAAATGCTCCTCAACTCCAGATGTTGCCGAACATCCCCGCCTCTCTGGAGAAATTAGAGCTTTACAATCTCGAATCATTGCAATGCCTGCCTTCTTCTTTGTCATTCTCTTCTCTGGCTGTCCTTGAATTACACAGCATTCCTCTCCTCGAATCATTGCCAGACCTCCCTCCCTCTTTGCGTTCGATGAATATTTATTATGGGAACCTGAATTGCTTGCCTTCTTGCTTTCCTAGCCTTTCTTACCTCCAAAACATTAGTATTAGTGGTCTTCCTCTGCTCCAAGAATTACCAGAACTCCCTTCTTCCCTTCGTGAACTGAGCATTAGAAGACTTAAATCCCTACAATCTCTCCCTTCCTCATTGACAAGCCTCTTTTCACTTGAGATTCTATTCATAATTAATGTTACTGAACTTCGGCTCCTGCCAAACTTTCCCGCCTCTCTCGAAAAATTAAACCTTTCAAATCTCGAAGCATTGCAGTGCCTTCCATCTTCTGTGTCCATCTCTTCCCTCAAAAGACTTCACTTAATGAAAATTCCGCTCCTAAAATCATTACCAGCCCTTCCTCCCGGTTTGAAATATCTGTTCGTCAATAATGTTTCTCAGCTCCAACTATTGCCAAATATCCCCGCCTCTCTAGAAGATTTAATCCTTTCAGATCTCGAAGCATTGCAGTGCCTTCCATCTTCTTTGTCCATCTCTTCCCTCAAAAAGCTTCGCTTAACAAGAATTCCGCTCCTAAAATCATTGCCAGACCTTCCTAACGGTTTGAAATATCTGTCCGTCGATAATGTTCTTCAGCTCCAACTATTGCCAAATATCCCCGCCTCTCTGGAAGAACTAAACCTTTCAGGTCTCGAAGCATTGCAGTGCCTGCCATCTTTTTTGTCCATCTCTTCCCTCAAAAGACTTCGCTTGATAAGAATTCCGCTCCTAAAGTCATTGCCAGACCTTCCTCCCGGTTTGAAATATCTGTTCGTTGATAATGTTCCTCAGCTCCAACTATTGCCAAAAATCTCTGCCTCTCTGGAAGAATTAAACCTTTTAGATCTCGAAGCATTGCAGTGCCTTCCTTCTTCTTTGTCCATCTCTTCTCTCAAAAGACTTCACTTAAGAAGAATCCCGCTCCTAAAATCATTGCCAAACCTCCCTCCCAGTTTGAAATTTCTGGAAGTCCAAAGCTGTCGTCCAAAGTTGATGAAGCGATATGAAAATTTTCACAGACTCCGAGTAGCAGACGATTGATTTCTAGCACAGAAGGCCAATGAATCCTGGTAATTACTAATTCAATCCAATTCAATAAAATTATTCAACTTTATTTGAATATTTGCATATTATTACATTGTTGCATATGATTACATTGTAAAATTTGATTGGCAGAGTAAGCAAATCATGAAGAGGATCCAAGCGTCAGATGAATGACCTGTATGCAATACTCAGGCAGGAAACAAAGGAAGAGAAACTATGTACATATATATAGGTTATGAGTTGTGTATTTGTAGTATGCAAGCTGGACTTGTTTATTTTGCTGTATCCAAATGATATGCGCACTTATTGTAATAACAAAAAAACTGTGGTTTTGATGAAGAGCTTGCTGATCGTGGAAAAGCTCAAACCCTAGACTTCTCCCCGATGCCGGTGTTGACATCCAACTCAAATAAATAACTCATATGAAGAGATGAAGATGCTTCCGCGGGCTCATCTCTATTTCTCTTGCGTGGTTTTCCTTTTCGCTACAAAAAAGTGAGTTTCTTGTGCATGAAAAATGAGCTGCAACAAGGGAGTTTGGAATACATCAATATTTTATTTTACTTTACTTTGTGTCCAACCATACCCCAAAATAAAAAAGGAAATGTATTTGACTTACTTTGCATTCACGTTTTCTCGAATCAAACGGCCTCTACAACAAAGTCCTTTTATAGCTATCATGCTTTTTTTTTTTTTGGGAACGGGGTATCGGCCCGC